TGTGTGTGTGTGTGTGTGTGTGTGTGTGTGTGTGTGTGTGTGAAATTGTCAAAAAAAAAGAAACACAAGGCTTGGTGTCTGCAGCCTGGAAGAAAACCCTACAGAAATCAGCTCTGAGGCTGGGGGACCGCTCGACCAGTAAAGCACTTGCCAAACGCACATAACGAGTTGAGCTCAAGCCCAGGTGTCCAGGTGAAATGGGGTTTGGTGGAACTGGAGTCCCAGCACTGCAGAGGCCGAGACAGGAGACCCCTGAGGCCCCCTGACCAGCCAGCCTAACCCAGCTGTGGAGCCGCGGGACCCGGTGAAAGACGTTGTCTCAAAAGTAAATTACTAATAATAATAAGGATGAGGATGAGGATGGCTCCGAGCAACACCTGAGAGTGCTCCCTGCACCCCCCACACACACACACGAGCGTGTGCACAGGTACACACACCGCAAACCGAAAAACCTGAAACACGGCACCAGCCTAGCAAAAGAGCCCTACAGACATCACCGTTTGTTCTTGGAGGACTTTGCAGCCCACGGCTTTGACAACTCGGAGGACGGAGTCCGGGTGGAACTACCGTCTCAGAGCTTGACACCCACGGATGTCTCGGAAGCTTTTGATGGAGAAGATCTCTGAGTAAAACCTTAACCAACGTATTGTCCTTTCGGAGGAATGGTGGAGGCCTTCTTCAAGCCTAAACGCACTGGGAAGAACTCTTCCAGTGCACAGGAGAACTCCCAGCGGAAGGCTCGGCATCGTTGTAACATTTCTTTCCCCGCAGTGTACCCACAGCGTAACACACGGGGCTTCTTGTGTTCGCTGAAACACGCATTGTTATCTGCCCCTGCAGCTGGGAAAGCCGAAATCTAGAGAAATTCATCCCTTGCTGACGGTCCAAGAATAAGCCACGGAGCCCCTCCCCTTAAATGCTGCTCTGCTTGCGTCTTTACTGTTATTTAAGAGGCTGGTTCCAAACTGTGTAAACGATGTTCACCCACCACAGACACAGGCTGAGCGCCCGACACACGTCATCCCGGCAGTGAAACCATAAAGGCAGCACTAGAGGGAACCGGACAGCGTCCCAGCCTCGGAGGAGTTACCCTAAGATAAAGCCTAACACCGGGACAGGTGAGCCGGGGCTGAGGCCTGTACAGAGCTTGCCTTGCGTGTGTGGGGGCCCCGAGTTAGATCCCTAGAACTCATGCTTTAAAAAAAGAAAGAAAGTGAGGCTTCCTGCTATGAAGATCCCCAAAGAGAAGACCTCTGAGAAGGAATGGCCCGGAGAGGTGGCTAACACCGGAAACAACCGGCTTCCGTCCCAATGCTCCAGTGCTGGGTCTTGAGCAAACTGGCACAGAGACATTAAAGCCAGACCTTCCCTTGACCCGAGCGCTTGGGGACACGTGGGGAGAGAGAAGGCATGTTTGGCTGGAGAGACTCTGGTGACTCTCAGGGAATCAGGAAGCCCCACAGCTGAGCCATGGCAAACAGCCGCCCTGTCCCAGGGAGCGTTTTGCACGCATCTGACAGCCAAGCACCTGAGACAAGCCTTGCTTTACCAAGCCGTGGGCTTTGCCGAATCTGAGTCGGTGCCAAAGACGCAGAAGGTGAGTACCAAGCCTGAGGAAGTCTCACAGGGGACCCGGACCCCAGCCTGGCATTGGGGGGCGGGCGGGGCGGGTGGTGGAATGGACCACCAGGCTCTGCTGAGCTGCCTGCTCTTCAGTGAACACGGCTCTTCACAGGTTTGCTGAGACAGGCGTGAAGAGAATTTGTCCAGGACAGGTGTGATGACACAGGCCTGAAACCTCAGTTAGATTAGGAGAATGTCAAGGTCTAGGCTAGCCTGGGCTACATAGCAAGCCTGGTCTTAAGTGACAAGATGAAATAAAAACACATTTGAAATACAGATGTTACCAAATCACACGACCATGCTCCTTGGCTTGTGCTGGCTTCAGGGTCTCCTCCAGCTTCACACACGTGCACATACGCACACACAGACACACACATGCAGACAGGATGTTGAGGGGAGTTCTGCCTCTTGGCACACACTCTCTTCCTCCCTTGGGCTCCCCCAGGGCTCATCTGCCTGTTAGAGTGAGACCCTAACTCAGAGGTGGGCCTGCGCGCCATCTTCCTGTTCCCTCCCTCCGCAAACAAGGCCATAGTCCAGCTAAGGGCAGAGGAGGTGGTGATGACGGCCGAATGCTCACCCCCACGCTCACCCCCACACTCACCCCCCCACGCTCACCCCCACGCTCACCCCCCACGCTCACCCCCACACTCACCCACCACACTCACCCCCACGCTCACCCACCACGCTCACCCCCACGCTCACCCACCACGCTCACCCACCACGCTCACCCCCACGCTCACCCACCACACTCACCCCCACGCTCACCCACCATGCTCACCCCCACACTCACCCCCACGCTCACCCCCACGCTCACCCCCACGCTC